TGCCTCTGCGCGCCATGAATGACGAGGCGGGACACACAGCAAACACCGGGACCTATCCTCTGTACGCTGAATGAGCGGTACGCCGGACACGTGCCGGGGGCCCCATCTCTCACTCTCTGCATACACCGCCAAAGCTACGCGCCCGACACACGACGGAGCATCCGCTTCTTCCTCGCTTTATGCGCTGCGGATGGGTGAGGCCGACGCAAGTCAGTGTTCCTCTCCGCCTCCCCGTGCGGGCGCACTGCCGAAACGGCACACCCCAGGCGTCTGCGCCGGGACCCACCTCCGCACGGACACTGGAGAGGCAGAGCACCCTACACGCACGTCTGGACCCATCTCTCGCTCTATGCGCACGGACCTACACGTGCTTCCCGACATACGCCCGCAGCCCACTCCCCCGTATCCCTCGCTGCGATGACGAAGCAGCACAGCCGTCACACGACATGACCCGGCTCTCTCCATCTCTGTACGGACGGCTGGCGGCTGGCGATGCTGCAGCCGCTCGGCATCCGCCTAACGCTGACACGGTAGCGGGGCGTAACGCCGAACCAAGTACCAGATGCCGTGCAAGGAAACGAACACACGAGCAACAAACGAAGTCCTAACGAAGCCGTCTTCGTACTAAGATATGCCTATGTTAAACCTTGAACACGTGCTTCGCATCTTCTGTTTGCTATACAACGTAGTATTTGGGCCTGAGTAGGTGCACCGACGTGGCGTGGCTGAGTTGGATACCATTTAAGCCGCTCATTTCGACATCCTGCTCGCTTTCGAACGAAGCGGAGCCACGTTGCAAAGTCACGTGGTGTACATGCATCGTTGTTCTATTTATGTCACATGATCGCTGCGATGCACTGCCGGCTGTCCGGCACGCCTGGCATCCACAAGAGGGGCGTCCGCATACCAACCATAGAAACATGGCGGGGCTGGGGCAGGATCGGCAGCCGCAGCGGCCAGCTGTCATATACATTACATACGGCGGAATAAAGAGGAGAACAGATCGCGCACGCCGATTTAAGAAGTACACACGCGTGTTACACCTACTTTACTTTGAGAACATTTGAATCGCGAACATAATTCAGTGCATTCATTTGTATGTTTTGATGGAATGATGACTTCAAGGTTTCGATTATGACTTCATGATCCACACTCTGATTTTCAAGCTTTGATTCCTCCGATGTGAGGACTTGATTCCTCAAGAACGTCATTCCAGTCAAGGGGTTTTAGGACCATATGTGCCAAAAATTCCTCCTTTGTGACGTTCTTGCACCCATGCCACGAGGCAGCATTTTGACGAAAACTTCTATATGTATTTCGAAAGTAACTTTAAACACTTTTCGGAATCGGACCACTCTAAGAATTTCGGAACGGTAGTGGGCGGCCCGTTTGCACCTCTGTGCCAAAAGCTTAGGGCCATCGCCTGCCAAACAGTACTCTGTACTTGTAGTATCATACATCGGCGCTAGATGTCTCCATTTCAATGCACGTGCTTGAGTTCGCTTACCACTTCAGCTGCTCACAACTGTTGCAAATACAACAAAAACGGCCTGCCGCACAGCCAGAATTGCTTTTAAGAGGGAGGGAGTAAAGCACAGCTGATCTACTTATATCTCGAGTCGAAAAGTACAAATAGCCTGTGCAAGGCTCCAGAATAGGCGGAGGGAAGGGCGTGTCTCCATGGCTGCGCCTCTGCACCCACAGGACAGGAGAGTTTCAAAATCAGATGTTCACCAGTGCGTCTAACAAAAAATGAATCCGTGCCACACAAATATGGTACCCTCAGCTGTCACACTAAAACACAAAGACTACTTCGTCATCCTAGTGATTTGCAAGAAAAAATTGATCGGCCTCCGTTACCGCACAAGATCAAAGTGGCTTTTACGCGTTCTCATTTCGCCGTGGGCGCGCCGTTGCCGATGCCCCTCGTCGACACATCCGCGGCCGGCGGCCCTGGTGACGGCCGTCCGGAGCGGGGCCGACGGTCTGCGGTCTGCGGCGGCGCCGCCCTCGTCGCCGGGCCCAGCTGCGGCCACAGCTGCGGCCAATAACGCCGCCGGCGGCCGGCCGACCGGTCAGCGGCGCCGGCGACCGGCCCCGGCCACGCTGATAGGTCACCGGGAGACCATGGCCCCGGCTAAAACACGGCCACCAGGCCAGGTCCGAGAGAGCAAGGCAGCGGGGAGGCCGATTCCACCGGACGGCTGCCTGTGCACGGACACGGGCACGGCACAGGTGGCCGGCATATGTCACCCGCGCGGCTCCACACACAGACAGCTGACGCCGAAGCCCGACATTCCACACCTGACACCACGTTTTGCAGTCGACGTCCGCGTCAGATTGGCCGGGGTGGAACGGCTGTCCGGATCGACCCGACTTGCCCATGTTCAGAAATGTTCCGGACAACCGAAACGGGTGTGGTTTGTGCGGACTGACTCACCGAACAGACTGCGCGCTGGTGTCAAAGTCGCAACCTTCGCTTTCTCAAGCACTTTCTGTCCCTTCTTCCTCATTCCAGCTTCATTCTGCCTCTCCACGCTAGGCCGCTTATCCGGGGCTATCCCCATGCACCGGCCACGAGTGGGCTGAAGTGCCTTCAGACGGGCGTCCTGCCCGCGCGCTAGGGCGTGACCTATAGAGGCGTGCCGACCAAGTCCCGGTAGCGCGGGATTCTCGTGCGCATATAGCGTGCTCCAACACCATCCACTATACCTCTCTCATCAGTCTCATAGCCCCAATTAACCGCTGCTGACCGAAATGGTTATTGCCCAAAAACATACTGATGATCTGACACTTCCAGTTACATCACATCTTGCGATAATCCTGTCGCCGGCGCCTCTCCCGGGTGGTTTCCATCAACTGGCGCCAGCCGACAGAAGAGGTCACCGGACGTCCGTCAAAGTCGGGCCCTCCAACACCGCCGACGAAAGACAGGCCGTCCTCGCATTCTCCCACGGCTGGCGCCGCCGCCGCCGGCAGCGCGGCGCGCTCAGCTCGGCCAGCGACGGCGACGGAAACGGCGGCGACAGCAGGCGGCCGGCAGCACACGTGTCCGGACGCGACAGGAGACTGGCCACCGGCTAGGTCAGCTGGGTGGCGCCCGGTCAGGTTTGGCTCGTCTGGTCCAACGGACGGGGACCGATGGCAGCCCTTCGACATGGGTCGGGGGAGGGAGAGGGGGGGGGGGGGGCGGGGAGTGGAAGCTGCACTTTGGAACGACCTTACCCAAACTCGCACAGCAAAGTTACTATACAGTGAAGGCAGTCTGCAATGACACCATCTGAAGGACGATCGCACATGCCAGCTTCTTCATTATCACGAGAATAAAGCGCGCGGTTCCCACACTAACTCAGCCCGCGGGCGCCGGCAAATACAGACTGGCTACGGAATGCCAGGCTTCGCCCCCGCGCGGCCCCAGTCCGGCCCGCGATGCCGCGAAGGATAGGAGTCTCCGGAAGCTTGCAGTGGACACGTGCTCGCCCTAAATACAGACCGGCTACGGAATACCAGGCTTCGCCCCCGCGCGGCCCCAGTCCGGCCCGCGATACCGCGAAGGATAGGAGTCTCCGGAAGCTTGCAGTGGACACGTGCTCGCCCTAAATCTACGGGCGTTTGCAGACATAACAAACACGACTCAGACGCCGCGTAGCGAGTTCTCGCCTCATAATGAGTCAAGGGCCATGACCTCCGGAAGGGGCGAAGTCCGAACGGGGCATCTGGTCTCGCTCCGATGGGGCCCGGTCTGGCCCGTCTCGCTCAGCACCGCGGTATGTCCGCTCATCGCGCTCCACAGCACAAGACAGTAGTTATATATGTATTTTTTTTTGCTTTCGAACTGTTTCATGTTCGATCTTCAGCTACTTATCTCAACTCACAAAAAATCATTGGATGTTGCCCGCTTTTCTCGAAATGACCTATACAAACCCATACTTTAATAAAACCTGCTCTTAGTCTGCTGGAGCCTTTGGCAGCTCCAATCGGTGCTCTTATACTGGCGGGCTTCCTGTGTATTTTTGTGATGGGATGCATCTGGCGAGACCTTGTTTCAACCACCCGGAGCCTCCTGCCCACCAAAAGGGACTCGTATAGGTCAATGGTCATCCAGGGCCTCGTACGGGGTCGAGATTGTCTCCTGTGCGTCTTAATGTCCCTCCTCTTAATTCGCTGGAAGTCTGCCTCGGTCATCTAAGGCCCCTTGTCGATATCATGAGGCCTCCTGGTATTCCAAAGGGTGAGGGAGGGGGCTGAAATGGTGGAAGAATTGAAAACCGACCGAGTTTTTGTGCTCGTGACAAGAAACAAGTGTAATACAGTCCGGACCAATAACCACATCCAGAATATCCACCTCTGCCGCACGAAATGTCTGCTGACGTCAAGCACCAATTGATGGCAAATATTTCTCGCAAACAAAGCCTAGCGTCTCCTTGGCGCTTTGCAGTACATGCGTAATCACATGAGTATGCAGGTAGCGCACGTCAACAATTCCACCCCGATTGAAAACGTAGGTAGCTCGCGTCGGAGTGCTCCGCATCCTCAGTTCGCCGCTTCAACTGCTAACAGCGCTGCTTCCGGTCGCCTTCGAGATAAGAGCTACCGGTGTGCGCCGCCCTGCCGGCTACCACCGATCACAAAACTGACGTCACGTGATCTAGTCACCCGAGCCGCCCGGGCCGTGTCGGCGTTGGCGTTCACATCTCACGTTACCCGGGGACTTCCCCAGCCACGCCCAGCCGTGGGCAGCGACAACAGCGCCGCGGTGCGACCGTGCGCTGTGCTGTCAGGTCACGCTGGCCCGGTCCCTGTGGCCGACGACCGGCTCCCTGACGCAGGACCATCCAGGCTCACATCCAGCTCACGGTCATTGGACCACGTCCGTCTGATGCCCCCCCCCCCACCGGCTTGAGGTCACGCTGGCCCGGTCCCCGTGACCGTGACTCAGCGGCGTTACCCTCCCCCCCTCCGGGGCCGCGGCCGCCGCGTCCGGCCGCCGTGCCACTGACCGTTGTGCAGGACGCGCACTTTGTGCCGGTGCGCGTGGCACACGATCTGCGGATCGAAGAAGTCGAACAGCACGATGGCAGTCAGCTTGTCCCAGTCGAACGTCGCCCACGTCTTCTCGGTGGTGTTAAGCACGAACGCAAACACCTGGCGACAACGGGCGGAGGATCAGTATTGGACGAGTAGTTTTTGGTTTGGGTTTAGGTTAGATTCCAACCACGAATGACCATTTAAGAGGCATGGGATTTTAAAAAAGGTAAGAGGTGGGGTAGTACTGCAGCCATCGTAGGGGTACTCCGCCGACGACCTCCGCACAGAGACCGTCTTCGGGGTTGGGGTAGACAGTCGGGCGGACTTCCGCCGGCTCGACACTAAGCCGGCTCACAGCCGACGGCAGCTCGGCACTACGCCGGCTCACAGCTGACCGCCAGCTCGACACTAGGCCGGCTCACAGCTGACCACAGCTCGGCACTAAGCCGACTCACAACTGACCACAGCTCGGCACTAGGTCGGCTCACAGCTGACCGCAGCTCGGTTCTCAGCCGACTCACAACTGACCACAGCTCGGCACTAGGCCGGCTCACAGCTGACAACAGCTCGGCACTAAGCCGACTCACAACTGACCACAGCTCGGCACTAGGCCGGCTCACAGCTGACAACAGCTCGGCACTAAGCCGACTCACAACTGACCACAGCTCGGCACTAGGTCGGCTCACAGCTGACCGCAGCTCGGTACTACGCCAGCTCACAGCTGACCGCAGTTCGGCACTAAGCTGGCTAACAGCTGACCGCAGCTCGGCACTAGATCGGCTCACAGCTGACCGCAGCACGGCACTAAGCTGACTCACAGCTGACCACAGCTCGGCACCAAGTCGGCTCACAGCTGATCGCAACTCACCCCGGTAGGATGGACAGCGTTGGAGGATTCAGGATGAAACGGTTGGCGGGAACAGCAGGACAGCCGATGTCCAGCGGCAGGGCTGAACAGGTGTATTTCAATAAAAAACACAAAGATAAAGGACTGCTACGTTTTTGAGGACTGGACCAAACAAAACTACGATAATTTTTCAGAAAACTAACGACACTGCTGCTACATCTGCCAAGCCGCGTCCCCAACCAAAGATAAAAAACAACTCCTTTGGGGACGTTTTTCAGTGTCACAAAAAAGCAGCAAAAAAAGGCATGCGAGCGTTCAAAGCACCACCACCTGCGCCACTGTTTTCTATCTCGAGTGTCTAGCCACATATGTTGGCGCCTGTTTATGCCATTTGACGCACGCCACGTGCCGCACAGGCAGGCGTGTGACGACAACCGGGCCCAGTCTCGTCGAGCTGTCAGCACCGATAGCACTGTAGTTCTGCCAGTGCAGCCCGTTGACACCGGTGGGCTGACCTGCCACATCATCCGCCATTTCTCCAGACTGCACGTGGCCTTGGCATTCAGCGCAGGACAGATGAGAGCTGACCTAATGCGCTGACTGGCGTGCACTGACTCTTAACACGCGCCCGGATGGCCGCTTAGACGCCCTTCGCTTGGGTGGGAGTCAATTTGACCCCCTGAGATCTCAGGAATTAAGAAGGCTAGGAACACCAAATGCACAAGACGTGTGTGCCTGCACGCTAACTCACGTAGGTTCAATTTTGAGGATCCTAGGTCCTGACCTTCGGATAAAATAAGATCAAACAAGGTCAAACTCCAAGTTGGTCTCCAAAGTGTTCCCAGAACCTAGGTACCTGTTCTAAGCAAAAGTTCACGTGGCCATTTCGGTTCGGTGACTTTGTTTGACTTTTTGAAGGTCATGGTGACCAAAATCATAGAAGACTGCTTCAATTTTGCATTTGAATAAGCGACAAAGATTATGCAAGGCAGTATGTTCCTAAAAACGAAACGTTGGCTTGCGTAAATTTTGGTCAGTGACCGATTCAGACCTTTGAGAAGCCCATGAAAGGTGTCTTATGCGGTTCCTGTTATAAATAAATTGAAAATGAACACCAGAAACTACCCCTTAACACAAGCCCTAGAGAAATATAACAGGTTCGTTTTGACCTTGGTCTGGCCTTTATACCTGACCCTAGGTCAATGGAATTTGGTCATTTAATTGTGTGTTCCAAGAAAGTATTTCAGAGATGTACGGCTTTGCCTAACAATCGGTTGTTCCATAATATTTAACGATTCCTAAAAAGTGACTTCGTTGAATCCACAGCCTGACTTTGACCTGCCGTATGTCAGCGACCTTACAAGCTACATCTAATTTTTTATATCATACGATTCAATATTCAATTTTCTACACCTATGCAAAATTTGGCGCGGCCACGCCACGCCGTTCGCAAAGCACTTCGGGGAAAACCTCAAGGAGAAGGGGCAATTTGATTGCCCACCCGAGCGCGTGGAATATAATGACCAAACACGGCCCGTGTAGCCGGTTGAACATCCTTCGCTCGGATGGGGGTGAGGCAATTTGGCCCCCTGATATCTCTAAAGCTAAGCGAGCTAGTTACACCACATTTACAGGCCGTGTTTGCTTGTATGTTAGCTTTCATGTGTCAAAATTTGAGGTTCCTAGGTTATGATCTTCGGATCAAATAAGGCCAAACAAGGTCGAAGTCCAGACTAGTGTCCAATGTGCCCCAGACCTTCTCATGCAGCCGCCGTGAACTTAGAAACCTGTTTTAAGCAAAAGCTCACTGGTGTTTATTTAAGGTCAGTGACCTTGTTTGCCCTTAAGACGGTCATTGTAACAAAAATCATACCAGAGTGTTTTGGTTTCTGCATTTCAATACCCATCAAGAATTACGCTACGCGGTAGGTTCCTAGAAACAAAATGTTGACCTTGGTCATTTTAGGTCAATGACCTATTCTGACTTTTAAGAAGTCAATGAAAGATTATAATGCAGTCGTTATTATCAACATATTGCAAATGGGCATCAGAGACTACCTAATACAGCATGCTCTTGAGTAAAAAACAGGTTGCTTTTGACCTTTGTCTCAGCTTCCTACATAGCCCTAGATCAATGGACTTTGTGAATTGTGTTACAAACTGTTGTGTTGCCTAAGAGACAATTCCAGAGATACGCTTCGTCATTGCGTCACATATCGGCAGCGCCGCGTCCGCTCAGAACACGGACAGCTGCGCGTGGGTTTGACCACCGCATGGCGGGGGAGAAGAGACTGGGGACTGTTGTCATTGGGGCTTTACGACGCACTCAGCTGCTGCGGCTATATGCGTCGCCTGCCTCTCACCCTAGCAGGACGGGCGGGCACCACGGGAAATAGAACCTCGTACCTCTGGCTTCCCAGACGCGCCGCGTTACACGTTAGACGCGTTAACCACCACGCTACTGACACCCTGAGTGGAGACTAAGCTCTTCCAATTTCTCTAACATGGGCCTTGGCCAAATGTTGCTAGTAGCATGTACGTTCGCAGGTGTGGTGAGAGACGTTCATTTTTTATTTTGCTTTCGTAAAATGAAAAATGAGTACCGCAGCATTTTTAAAGGGAGTTTCTCACCTTTCGTACTTTTAAATCATAGTGACATCAGACGCGCATGATTTTATTAGTAATGCCAGTTTTCTCGAAATCCATTTGAATAGCTCAGAATTTTGATTTGAAGTAGCTGACCCCGCGGGAGGAATCTCATTTGACTCCCTGCTCGCCACCATGAAAATAAGACACCTCATTTGTCTTACTTTTCCTACGTCTGTGTCCTGTAACGTTTATATCACACTTCGGTGCCAAAATATTTCTGTCAAAAATGCTACGAAAGCTTGAAACAATCTCTCAGCGAAGCAAAAATATGCGAACATGACGCTATTATCCCGCGAATTCATCGAAACGTTGCACTATGGCTTTGACTCCTACCCTGTTGCGTTTACCGCAGTGGCTCTTTTCGAAGCGTACTTTGGCTTTGGGAGTGGAGGCGTCACATGATCCATCAGGAGCCTGGTTCAAACTTCAGCCAATGCGCTTCTCAGTAACAGGTCCCTGGCCGCTTGGCAAATCATTAACGTTCGTTAACTGGCACCAGTACAGGTACGCAGGGTGGCTGTCATGGCGACGGTGATCGCGACTACAGGGAAGAGAAAGCGTTGACAGCGTAATTCAAGTAACAAAGGGGCACTACCTAGTATTTGTATGAGACGTACGTGATCCGGAGGTTTCATTAGGGTATGCTTTTAACATATGCCCCAAAGGTGGAGCACTCTCTTGAAACGGGGAATATGTGAACATCCTCTGTTGAGTCCGATTTAAAAACGCCATGTGAGGCAAGCCTGATTCGCATGAAGCATGCCCTTCCATTTTTGGGAGATGGTTACATACATACAGCGGATAGCAAGGCACAGTGAAATAGCAATGCAATCAGCACAGTGTTTTACAATCATCGTTCACTGATCATCGCAAAACGACTATCTCATGGCATAACCACATTCAGGTTAGAATTCATTCGCTTACAAACCCTTCAGGAATGTCGTGTCGAATTCCTGGCAAACCCTCACATAACATGTGTGAACAGTGTGTCCGAACGCTGAAACATGAGTCAGCCCGCTGTAAGCCCCATATCTACAACAGCTGATAGCGGCGTCATAACATGATACGCGTCCGCCTACACGGCAGGACGGACTGCAAACTCAAGTGGCGCGCTGGGCATGTTGACGCGCATCGTGCCGGCCTTTGCCCGATTCATCGCGGAAGACCAGGACCACTTCCGCACGCTCCCCCCCCCCCCTCCCTGCCTCGGACACCAGACACCCACTGGAGCCCCTCCTACCCCGGAGTCAAGCCGCCGGGGTGGCCAACGGGTTATTCCCCCGACGCCAGGCCACAGCCGCGCCCACGTGACCGACGGCTAAAGGACGGCAGCAGCCGTGGGACATGATTACATACATACAGCGGGCTTTCATATGGGGCAGGCATTCCCGTGTTGCGACGATAGCCCAGAGACCATGTCAGAGTCAAACCACTGACACGTTCTCAGCTCCATCGCCACGTCAGCCCCACGTGGCGGAGCTGGCCCGTGTTGGTCACGTGGGGCGTCGTCAACTCCTCGAGATCACGTGGTCTCAGCACCGCCGTGACGTCAGCATCACGTGGCCAGCATAGTTCCAACCTCACCGTCACGTGCCGCGTCGCGCGCCACGACGAGCGGGCAGACGCAGCTGACGGACTTGGGACTGACCTCGCTCGGCTCCGCTTTAGGCTGGGTTACCGGCTGACACCACTAGGCCAGCAAGCAGACGCAGCTGGCCGACTCGGGACTGACCTCGCTCAGCTCCACTTTAGGCTGGGTCACCGGCTGACATCACTCGGCTCAGCGAGCAGACGCAGCTGGCCGACTCGGGACTGACCTCGCTCAGCTCCACTTTAGGCTGGGTCACCGGCTGACATCACTCGGCTCAGCGAGCAGACGCAGCTGGCCGACTCGGGACTGACCCCGCTCAGCTCCACTTTAGGCTGGGTCACCGGCTGACATCACTCGGCTCAGCGAGCAGACGCAGCTGGCCGACTCGGGACTGACCTCGCTCAGCTCCACTTTAGGCTGGGTCACCGGCTGACACCACTCGGCCAGCGAGCAGACACAGCGGGCCGTCTGAGCCGGAGGCGGCGGCGGCGGCAGCGGCGACGGCGCGACACCGTCGTCTCGGCTGAAGAAGTAGATGCCGGCGGCAGGGCGCAGGCAGCTCAGCGCCAGCACCAGCACCAGCACCGGCAGCGTCCGGCCCCGCGCCGTCATCGCCCCTGGCGAACGAAAAATGCGCGATTAGGCAACTCTGGCAATGCGCACCATGCCTTAGATACAACGGCTAGAGAAAGGCCATTCGCAAACATCAATGGTTCACAAAAACGCGATAGAGTGTTTCCTCCAGATTGCTGGCGTCTATGATCACAAAACAATGATTCAGTGACGATAGCTATCGTCAAAGTAGCGGTCCGACTTACCCACCACCTCTTCGTCATTTTCCTGTCTGCTTAAGCAAGCAAGGTACTAGACTACCAAAGTACAAATATACCGTAAGTACATACAGTGTTTGAGTGGGTTGCTGTCCGGCAACTTAGGCATCGTACTCTATCTTCCGTCCTGAACGCCTTTACCGACCATAATTCCTTCTGGCCAGAGCTTTGAGCTGTTTTTTTCTTCGACGGGAGGCATAAGTCATCGTCATGAAGGACCGGCTTCTGATGGTTATCTCATCCCCGAGAAATTACACTGTTTACGTTCGTTGATGACTCTGTCAATGGCTTCCCCCGCCCTTGACAGCCAAGGTCAACATCTGGTCATGCAGTCAACGTCTGGCGATGACGTCAGTGCAGTGGTGTAGCCAAGATTTCGCCCAGCAAGGGGCCAGGTCGGGCATGTAGGGATCTTTTTCGTCATTGCGGTCTCCCTGTTGCTGGATTTTGAAGATATTTTTAAGCTCGGACAGCTAATTTGATGTTTCGGGAAGCTGTCTTTACGTTTTATAAATCCTTTCAAAGGTTCTAAACTACCAAAAAGTAGTGGGAGCTCAGGCCCAAAACAGGCACCACATCTCCACGGAAGGGGGGGGGAGAGATTAAACCCCAAGAACTGCGCTAGCCGCGCCACTGCATCAGAGAACACCAGCAGCCCATATTTCCAGCCCAGACATTTGACTACATGTCGCACGGTAACAAGCCGGCTTCATGTGCAATGACGCGTCTCATGGTCCGCAGCCATACAGTGGATTGTAAGTAAGTCATATGCTTTCATGTAACGCGAATGTTGCTTAACATACTCCACGGTTGTTCTTTGTAACGTAGCTTGCATGCGCTCGCAGTGCTCTCTTGTACCCAAGGAGATGTGCTCTGCTGCCACGATGCATATCATGTGAAGAAGACACCTTTTCTAAAAAAAATCCTGCCACGAATTCGGACGCCAGTTTTATCCTGTAATTGCTCACATGTAAGACACTGGGTCACAGGAAGTGATGGTAATGAGCATTGGCTCTACAGACCTGGTTGCACCCGATGGGCTTTCGGCATCCTGAGGTCAATTGATATGCCGCTCGCGCGCCGCGCTCGCAGACTTAAACTCCGTCCCCCCCCCCCTGTTAAGTGACCTGCAAGCTTTGCGAGGGCGCCCTGCCGACTGGTCCGCCCGAAATTTTATTCACGAGGTCGGTCCGCCACATGTTTCGCGAACGGTTGTACGTCAGCTGGTTTGTCAGCGTCTTAGAAAACTTCGTCATTTTGGTTTAATAAAGTTCCCTACACGGTGGCACGGAAAGAATCCAGGGGGTTTGGGACGGGGGGTAAGGAGCACGACAGCTATGGAGGAGACGCCACAGGTCTTTCAGGTGTTGACAAATGGAGGATAAGGGACTTGGGACATGCGGCGACTTGATCAGGACTTGCGGCGATCGTGATGCCATTGGCCTTTGCGTGTGGGTGCAGCTGCGCTCTATCTGCGCGTGTTGCAGTTGCTCCTGACCGTGCGCATCACGCGCAGGTACCTTGGTAGGGAGTGCAATCTCGTGAGGTTTTCTCCACCAATCATCATTCGCACGCAGCAGCAGCACACGCAGCATATGCACAGGACCCTGATCAAAACAATGATGCAAAGAAACGAATGGGCGAGAGCCTTGCGCAGACGACTAATGCAATATTAGATTTGGCTGAATCGAGAAAATCTCCGGGACCTCACGATACATGACTGGTCAGTGTTTTCAGACGCCCCTGAAACCTATGACGACGATGGAAATTCGCTTTTTGAAATGTCTTGTGAACTGCTATGCAAGAGTGATTCGTGGCAAGGACATCATAAGCAGGTTATTGGGACATAGCACTAGGACATCACAAATAGTTTATCTATAGGAAAATTTGGAGCGTGCATTAGGTTTGTGAGGTCTGTTCGAAGACTGATTTCGTGCCGTCGGTGTCCGTAGCGTGAGCACTATAAGCATTATGACTGCGTGCTGCCCGACGCATGACTCGAAAAATATGTGTCAATCGTACGGAACATACAACGTAGGTAAGGACATTGTGACAGGACGGAGCTGAAAGTCAGAGTGTGTCCCTGGCGGCCTGCCCAGGACAAGGCCAGCCAGGAACATGTGCCATAACTAGGTCTCGGGGAACTCCCTTGACCACGAACGTTCATGACGCTCACAACTCCCACAACGATCCGGACTTGTGCTTCACATCAGATTACATTTGGTGTCAGCGGTTTGTCGCTAAGTGATGGACAGTTGTGTAATAGGCCAGCTACATTCACATGGACTGTTCCTCTCAATACGTGAATCCATCGAGTCACACTTTGGCCACTAGGCGGGTTCCATGGCCACTAAACATGTCATGCAAGACGAAGCGGATTTGCTTCTCCCCCACAAAGGCGTGATCATCAGCCGTCAGATTTCCCACAGATATTTGCGGTGTTCAGGGGGTTACCCGGCTTACCAGTTATACCGCGAATGGCCGCGGTTGCAGTCCGGGGAACTCAAATAATGAATTCTTGGTAACGATAAATTGTTCCCACGTCGCCTCGCCAACATTTGGCCCACAAGAATCATCCAGCTTTTGGCCGCATTGTAAGCCAGGCTTGGCAAGCTTTTGCGGGTCGAAATTTTTGACAAGCAAAATGATTCCATTATTTTCGTCTCCAGTCCGTTAAGCCAATAGTTGCGCCTCTAATCCGTAGGGCTCGCCAGACAATGAGGTCCTCGCTAGGTCCCACCGTCCCATTGGAACCACCGGGTATCACTGCGAAAGGATTTGAAGTATATCATTTCCATCTCGCGTCATGTGAGGGCTGCACCCATTTCCCTGGTAAAACAGCCAGTTCTAGTGAAGATCCGTGTTCCAGTAAATGTCTTCAACATGTGATCGTCCACAAGCCGGAACTTCTGTTGCAAAAGGCACCGCAGATCCCCTTGCTGCAGGCCTCCGCAGCACGCCGTCGGACGCAGTGGCCCGGTGGACGCAGAAGATCGAGTCAATGTCGCTGAACATGGCCAACAATTCTTCTGTTGGCATTGCGAGGCCACGCAGCTAACCAATCTGGTTCAGAGGGGCTCCACGGGCTGCTTCGCCAGCGTATGCGGTCGCCACACCCAGGCTTCTGTGGGACCGCCGTGGACAAGCCGCATTGGAGCTTTTCAAACACGCCTACACACCACCTGCTGTCAGGACTCCGGCGCTGTGGTCCCTAGCCTGTTTTTTTCTGGTGGCTCTTCTTCCGGTGAAGTGTGCTTTCCAGGTTTTGGGTCTCGACCAGATCCCAAGCAAGAGCTCAGTCCAGTTGTTTTCTACTGACATTGCCACGGTTGCCAGTGTTGTCCGCTTCCTCAGCCTCACTCCGCGGCTGGTCTTGTTGGCGTCATGGCATAGGAGGAACAGAGAAGTCGCATGCAAATACGCTAATGCGCGATATTTCATGACATGACACTCCACACGTCGCGTGAAAGAACACAGTTGGGCAATATTTCTTTTCGACTGCACATCCATTTACATTTGACGCAGTGGTACGATAACGCCGGGACATGAGACGATATTGAAACGAAAAAGGAAAATGCTGAATTGAGTACGAATAATCGGAAAGACCACCCAGTTCTGGTCGTCATTTGTCAGCTTATCAACGGTGTAAAAGTATGTCAAGTCCAATAGAAAAAATTAGACGTTCTCTGTGTTGCTCACGGTCGCAATCCTGAATATGCAGAGATGAGCAGCACCATTTATAGCCCAATCAAATCGACCATTCCCAAACCGCATTGTGAGCAGCATGTACCTCTTAAATCGTGCACGATGATGAGTTGAACAGATTTCAAGCTTTAATGGCAGCACTTAGTTCATGGGCCTATTCAGAAGCACTTCAAAAAGACCTCTTTTGTGCGACGTATAAATGAGTCATTGTGTGTCCAGCTGATGAAAAATCCAAGCTACACAAACCACACACACGTCGTGTTCGACCATCAAGCGGCGGCATCAAATCATCACGGATCCATACCGCATCTGCTCTAAAATTGTAACCCGTTTGTAGCATTTGATCGTGTTAAGCTGCAAAAACGTCAATCAAGATCCGACACGCTTGCTGTAAGTTCATGGTAGGTCAGTTCATAACCATGAATCACTATCGCGCTGAAGTTCCGGTAACCCGTGCGCGAACACCCATCGGGCTCAGAAACTCAACAAAGGTCATGGTACCAAAGGTCAATCTTTTACCATAGTGAGTTTTCTAATAGGCCTTAGTTATCTAATAATAAAGGCCATAGTGAGTTTTCTTATGACAGCCTCAACTTCTTATTAAATTATCGTATTCTAATGACTCATCAAGAATCTAAAACAAGCTCAGATCCTAAGAAAGCATGAATGTACATGAACCAATCCCTGGGGCCAACCATTTTCTGCCGTGCACCATTTGTGACGTCACTATTGCATGGGTTCCTTGCTTTATCGACGTTGCCAGGTGCTTGCCATTTAGAGTAGATCAAAAGCAAAACAAGATGAGAGTTCACATGCCGAGTTATCGGCCTTCAATGAAGCAGGAGGCGCTGGTCACGCAGCGTTATAGAACAATAAACGTTGGCTGTATTGACAGGACCCGACGTTTCAAGCTATGCTTATGATCACGAGTAGTTTAGACAGCCATTTGTCAGGCGTTTTTTTGGCAACTACTAACGTACCATACTATGGGTATCTTCATTTCTAAGCTGTTATGAAGAAAACCAAGGTCTGCCGCGCTCCCCGCGCTTAACAACGTAAGATAACCCCCATCCTGATCGACGGCGTGATTAGAGCGGGGATTCCAAACCGACGCGAAATTAGAATATGAACACGTATGCAAGCTTCACAGACGTTAGTCCGAGTGCCAGACATCGAGCGTTGGATGCACCTGCAGCGATTCGCCACAAGCATCCTGAAAATCAAGAAAGCCAATCAGTGTGCTTTCCATCCACGCAGGACAATATCGTCATAAACACGGATGTCACCACCATTTTTCGGTCACGTCAGCGGACATTTTCCACTAGAGCGGTCCTGGGGCAAGACATCAAAGCTGCGGGTCTACAGACACATTCAGTTGTCAGAGTTGCCTCCTACGATAGTTCCGGTGAGGGCCGACACTGGGCTCCAGGGCGCCATGAACAGCAGGTTACATCAGCCGATGGGCTGACTGATAGTGGACAGGGCGTCACCACCGAGGAAGCGATAATCCCCCGCGTCCGCCCAAACTGGCCTCGTCCCATTTGCAGCCAATCGTGAGGGGGCTCACCGGAAATGTCCGCCACTATCCGGCCAACTGAGCGTTGAGCAGACTTCTGCTCGGTGTCGCTTCGGTGGAATCGACTCCGAATCTGAACCAAAACGATTGTGACTCAAAGCGACTAAAAATTTGCATAGAATCCGAATTTGACTCCATCACAGTTACACTTGCTGAATCTGATTCTTAAGCCGCATTACGCTTTTACTTTTGAAAAAAGAGGGTAGCAAATAACTTAACTACACAATTGCATGCATGTTATGGCATTAGTGACTCCAGAACCAAGTTGTCCCCCTTTCCACGCTGTTAAATTTTGGGAACACGACAACTCTAACCTCCCAACTCACCCCCTGTATCCCCACCAACTGAGAAATCGCCAACGCCACAAATTCCCAACTTCCATTTCGTGCTGGCACATACTAGCTGGTTAGCTCAGTTTGTGTAGTGGAAAGTCAACCAAGAAGCAGCCCGGAGATTTGGTTGAATCACTTTACGAATCGGGGGACTACGCGAATCTATTCGAAAACCGATTTAGCCGAACAACCATTAAAACCAAATCCGAATATGATTCTAACCCAAGCGGAACCAATCCCTGAATCAGACCAGAGTCCGCCGGAGTGAAGCGTGTCTGTTCACGCTCCGGGGCCCTTCCCTCCATCGGGTTCTCTGAAGACGGTGTCTGCCATGAGTCGCGGCGCTCCGCGGGCTCGCATCGCACCGGACGACTGAGCCGTCTGGTAGCCGCAGCAAGCCAGGTCAACGCCGCGAGACGACAGACGAGAGCGAAGATGAGAACAAACACACGCCACCGTATCCCCCACCACGCAGGCAAAGGCGTACGCAACGGGTGGGCGCGATGGTCCGGACCTCTCAGTTACTAAGTCAGTGGCCTTTTGTACAGTTGGGACACACATGAACAAGAGTGACCGAACGGTGTAAATTTCGGATTGCTCACTGCAGCACACCAAAGCGTGACACCAGAGGACCCCAAAAAGGACAAGAGGACAGCATGAGTGTTCACATACGGCTACTTCTCCCCAGACGCCCCCGCCAATCCCAGCGAGGCCTCTGGTCGAACCCCTACAAGATCGAATCCGTTCACCCCATACACAAATCATGTGTGCACATCTATCGCATCTCGCACCACATGAGGACGGCAGCTAATCTCTGCTTGGCTGATGGGGTTGGACGGAAGATGAGAGGATAGCGCGACAGACGAGAGGCGGGAGCGAAGGACGAGGGACGAGTCGAAGGGGTCACGGACCACAGACGATGACAAAAACAAGTGGAGGAGAACGAGGTGACTATGGATGAGGTATGAGGGGGGGGGGGGGCGGCGAATGCCGGGGAACATTGCTATGGACGTTTGGGGGGGGGGGGGGGAGTGGGCGCGTGGGTTTGGACAAGCCCTCTGCACGTCGGCACCGGACCTGCTCCGCTAGGGAAGTCATGTGATCAAACCAGTCACGTTCGCCTACTGACAAACGGTCGCACGTGACGAACGTGAGCTGCGAAGGTATGCCGCAGCAGACCTGAAGCTTGGAATGCCTACGGACATTGCCTAAAACCTGCCCCGGACCCCCATGTGAGGCTTCTACCTAACCTGTAATAAATTAAAAAACTGGCAAGAAACACTCCAGAAATCATAAAAACTTGTTTTTTTAAAACTGGTTTCTTCATGAAGTCACGATCCTGAGCTGCGCCACGTGAAATGGCACGCTTCTTGACGGGATGTGATCGCGGGAAGAAAGGTTTTCTCACTTTCGAAACCAGTGGTCGCATTCAAGATGAAAAATGACGACATGTAACGGCGAATCGGTGTACCAACATTCAGTACACCGCTGGATGCGGGCAAACAGGTAGCACACGAGAACTATTATGTTTAAGGCATCGATGTTTCGAGTAGCTTATTGCCGGCAGATCATGGTCCAACAATAATCATTTCATATCGAAACGTCGTGCCCTTAATGTAATAATTTTGGAAGACCTTCTGATGCCTTCCTGTACAATAAAGGTCGGTTCGGCGCAAAAGAGCAGTACATTTTTTAATCACATCAGCAAAAAATGTCTGATCACTAAACATCCAGACATTTAAGCGTTAAACACTACGAATGACTTGAATCTTTCATATTCGTTTAACTCGGGTGCACTGTCTATTGCGTGTTGAATGCGCTTTTTTGCGATCGGGCGCGAAAGAGCTGTGTTTTTTAGTGGAAAACTTTTGTTAAGATGTCGTCATTTCCAGTATCGAGAGATTCACAAACCACCTGTCACAACATGTTTCAAGCAGGGGAGGCGCGGCAGGGGATAAAGGGGGCGGGACTGAGGGTGCACGAGTATGCTCTTGCTCCTCAAAATTTGTAGGGGATGCTTTCGCTAAACTAAATGCTTACGTCGGATACCAAAATTGAGATAAAGCAGGCCCACACCACTGCCCAAATAACATCAGGCTCAAAACACCCTTTTCTCCACTAAGAGATTCATTTTCGAGTACATGAGACAGCGTATAAAATTCGATAGCCCGTGCTCTAGACCAGGAGGCTCAACTTTGTGTTTAAGAGGCCCTTTGCTAACTCGGGAGGCACCCGTCATGAACCAAAAGCCCCTATCCTGGATAAAAAGACGACCTCCATATATAAGGAGGGTCCTTTTCTGGAACAGGAGGTTCCTTTCATGTATCATATGGCTGCAGTTCCGGGTCAGTATGGCCTGTTTAGGACTACCGAGGCGCTTTGCTAGATTCGAAGTTCCCGTTGTTAATCGGAAGGATCCCGCTTCGGATCTCATGATTGTTGTTGTTTTCAACATTTGATAAGGATGTTGCTAAACGTCACATTTTTTGGATCCGTCATTACGTATCATGATAATTACAACATTTTCCAATTCGAGAAGATCCCTGTCCTAATCAGGAGGCCCACGTTATGGATTTTTGTATTGTCAAAATATGCATATATGGCTATTGATGCGTCACATTTTGGCAAACGGGCAAAAGCTCGGTGCCCCCCTTCCCCTTGAATGCGACATTGTCCAGAAGGCCCTAGTGGAAGAGGCCCCATTTTGTCCAGGAGGTCCCCTAGGTAATCCCAACTTCCCCCAACTCAAAATCCGTGCCACCGCTCCTGGTATAAAGTGGTGAATTCCACGCCAATCGTATTTTACCGGATGGGTATTGTTGGATCACAAACGCATGGTGGTGTACCGTGTCGTGTTCGTCGTAATCAGCAGTGTCATACGGGAAGCATCGCGTTCAAAAGCCTATGAATTTTGTCCGCTACCCGGTTCGTCCGAGTCAAGCATCGGCTCTCCATCTAACGAATCGTATCAAAAGACTCAGCATGTCACAGAGACACCAGCCCTTGCGTTTTCTATCTAAACAAACCATTCCAATTTGTTCATTTCGGTTGGGACGTGGACGGACGCATGCCACCACACTTCCGCCAGGATTACTAGAAGCAAAAGTGGGGAGGGGGGGGGGGGGCCGGATCGTCCCAGACATGAGTCACGACACTATACTTCCTGTCCACCAGATGCACAACCGGCGTGCCTTCGCCCGTCACCAACAGCTGATACGATTTTCCTTCCGCAGCTCGAGCTCGTACGAAATGCACACACCCCACTCCCACTCACGCCATACCTTCGTCAGTTGGCAGACGTACCCCTGAACGCGACGCGTCACCACCACACGCCACCCGCACCCCACTCGGCACCCCAACCGGGTCTGGCCGCCAGACACGCTCTGCGCAGCGCGGTACCCGTCCCCCACATAGCAGCCGGCTCCCCCGCTCGTCGGTGCCCCGGGCGCACTAGCAGCTGCGCGCGGTTGTCACTGCGCTGTCATCTAGCGGCCAGCACATATACTATCAGTTATGGCGTTGGTAGTTTGTTACAGGCTACTAGATGTCAGTAGACTGCGGATCATTGCTCCCACACCAGTATCAATTTTACTCCTAGCGATGGCTTTAGCACAACTATTTTTGCTCTTGAATAACAGTGCCAGGTATGTCGACAACCATCTAATCTATTTGGCACAGATATTGTTGCTCGACTTGCCAAGGAATGGTCGAGCGGCGAATTAAAAAAAATAGGAATGGGGGGGGGGGGGGGGAGGCAATCAGGCCAATCCGGCCCTTATATCCCCTTTCCTTGCTTTCTACTCAATCCTCGCGAAGCCCTGCTCACCTGGGGCAGGCTGTATGTTGTCAGCCACGAGTGGGCCGAGAGGCCCTCCCTAGGAAGCGGACCCCGACCAGGCTCTCAGCGCACACTCCGAGGCGACCCTGCGGGGACTAAAACATGGCGGCTGGCCCCCAGGCGCGTGTAGCCCTGTCATACCACTATCAATTCTTTTCATCTCAACGCTCTGAAATGATCATTTCTGGTCGAAAAAAGTTCAAGGAACGAAACGAAAAAAACGAACATTCCAGACAAAAAAAAAACATGCCGTACCGCATGTCGGAAAAACACTGATGTAATGTGGTCATCATAATTCATTCAAAGTGAATAAGATCACGAATGGGAGTATGAACTGTCTCGAGTTGAGAATAATGTCCATTCCCAGTGGCGTAAGCAGAAATTCGTCATGAGGATGGAGCCAAAATTCAAAAGTTTTCTGAAACTGCAGGTGCATTTTTTACTGAAACTCCAGGTCCAGATTCTACGCCATAAGCGTGCGAAATAAACCGCAGTCTGCTGGTGCACGTAAGACAGCACCACATCTTCTCGCTTTCTTCAATTTCTTGTCTACCTCGTCAAGGTCAGGCTCAGAATATACTGACAGATATGCATGCATACAGCATGCCAGCATACAGCACGGTACAGCATATACGCAAAATAGAGCACAGAACAGTGTAATATATATGACATCCAGAATATACTTCAAAGTCATTTTATTGAAGGGCAAACCGAACAAGGAGCTGGGGGGGGGGGGGGGAGGGGAGGGATGTAGGGCATTGTACCTCTCGATTCACATAATACATTTGGAAACTAGGGAAATACCCTGGCACCGGTCATTTATTTGCTCCTCCCTGAACGAAGTCGATTTGGCCTGCTTTATATGTAAAACAAAGGTGTACACTTTCCATAGAGAGGCTGTGTACTTAGGCATGTCGTAGGCGTTTAGTATAACCCGGTATTTTAGCAAAAAAAATGTTGGTGTTTCGTTTATTGCCGGATTGTTGCGCAACTTTCGTAAAATTATCATTATTACGTTATCTGACTGAAATTTTAACTGTTTAAAATGCCTACCGGCTTGTAGGCACCTTTGTAATAACCATTATGACCTTATATGCCCGAGGGACGCATTTAGTTGTTACGCCTTTCGAGAAGCGCCCGTAATACAGGCTGACTAAACCGTGCCAGAAGCGTTTTGGATTGCCATTTCATGTTTAATGTTCAATTAAATGATCAGTACTGTTCAGCAGCCTCTCGTGTCATAGGACAAAACTATTGCACTTTTTCCTCAGGAGTCGACCATGTAGTTCTCAAGCTGCAACCTTATGATTCGGTGGTTGATCATTGTGGCATAAGTTACCCACATACGCATATTTATACCGATTCCCGCAGTCGTGTCCGAGCGGTTCACACCCCTCACTCCTGCATGTAGCAGGAACCTGGTTCCTGAGTCAGCTGATTGGCCTGGCAGATGACAGTTGGCGAGATGCGAAATGGTCTAAACTATTACACGACATGACCGTGTCGGTGCGTTTCATGACGCGCGAACGGTTCCCCGGCCGATTGCATGCAAAATTTTCGGACAAAATACGCGAACAGGTAATCTCAAACAATTATCTCTACAAACCATTTTGCAAAAACTGATTAAGACAATGCTCATGCACATTTTGAGAAACACTGACATATATTCCGTGGCTCAACACAAACATCACTTAATGAAACTTTTACAGCTTTCTTCTGCAAAACCTTGCTAGCGTAGGGCAGACAAACTTCGCCCTTTGTCATAGTCCACTCATTGACAGTAGTGACATCTGGACAAATGGATTGCATGCACTGTGACACTTATAATGGATGATACTGCACTGTTTTGCTCCTGCCCGACGTGCATACCTGGAAAGCACCTGTCCCCGAAGCCAGAACGGTTCAGAAATACCTGCAGCAAACTAATGACTTTCTGATTGTCGCTGCTGGCGGGGGTGGTCACCAGCACATCTTCGGATGTGTCAGCACTCTACTAAATGCTTATTCTAAAGAAATCGTGCATTTGGAAGGGTTGAGCACCACATGGGCGACGCAGGAGTTCGTGTTGTTCATTTATTTAATTGCGTGAAAACACAATGAACAAGACTGGCTCGGTTTCTGTTTCGGTGTATTCCGAATCTACACTCGGCCTAGTCAGGCACTTATTGAAGAGCCTAATGGTCTTCCAATTTTTTAGAAATGACTGAACAATAAAACATCGGTCTGGCAAATAGTGTAGCAATCTTGCCAACAACAAACGCCCACGAACTCGTAGTATCTCAAGTATCTTCTGAAATTTTTAACACTGTATCGCAATAGCAGCAATTTTGCGAAAGTTGCCTGAAATACCGGCATTATACAAAAACCTTGCTCTTGCCGGACATGCTGACTACGCCTACTGACCATAACGCGTCCATCTTAAATTCCATGAGCCTATGCCGAGAGGACTGAAGGCAGGCGTGCAGAAGAAACAGGGCAAGATAAAAAAACAGACCGGAATCCTTGGTACTAGGGTAACGTAGAGCTTGCCCCTTGATATCTCTGTTCGCTGCGAATGATGGGGTAAGATGGTGGCGTTTATGGCATGAGGCAGTTGTGCCCAGTGGGATTTGAAAAAGATGGCTGGTGAATAAGGAAGATCTGCAAGCATGTCTCAGGAATAACAAAAATTAGCTAAACACAACTCAAATCTGAAGAAATGCTTCTGTGTGTGTGGGAGGAAGGTCAGTTTACATTGCTAGCCCGACCCCGAAAATTGGTTGTGTGGGTGGGGCACGACCCCTTTGACCCTTCCTGTTCCTATGCCCATGGCCCGGAGGTTGCTACATGCATATACCTCTGTCTATTCCAGCAGTACTCATTCGCCCGTGACTACTGCAAACGTCAGGTATGTTCGATGACCGCTTGGCGATTATCTTGTACCCATCTGCATATCAAAGGTCGATTCTTATGAAAATGAAAATTTAAAATGCAAAAAAAACGACGTAAAAAGCTGAAAACTCTTCTTTCATTCATGGATCCTCGGCCCAGCAAAACGCTTTAGTACTTGATTTATTCTGACCGTGGTGACTGGTGTCTGGGTTTACCACCTGGTTCACATTCGGGGCTGAAATGCCGACACGTCGTTGGTGAGAGCTAGCTCAGCACTGACATGGACCGCGTGTCAGCCAGCACGAGCTCAAGCAGCTATTGTTCCCTCGCCACGGGTCTACTCGGCTCACCAATGCCGCAAATGAGCTCAGGCTCGAAAACAACGCAGGATGTACGCCTTTGTGAGATGGCACTGGACGCGTTGTTCTAATTTTTCTTCACTGGGGGAAAGAGAAATCTGCGGCGACATAACTGGACGATGCGCTTTGCTACCGTTGCAGCCCAACTTGAAGGGAAAGCAAAGAGCAGCAAACAGCTGACGGTGCCAAACAGTGTCATGTTTCGAAACAATTGTGAAACTAAACGGCACTTGTCACGCGCTGCCGCTTCTCACCGTGATGCTGTAAACTTTGGGCGCCTAAGGCCCTATGAAGTCCGTCGGGCCGGTTTGGCTGGTACAGTTGTCTCTAATACCGTGGATGCAGTGCATTCACAGTTGGGCTGGCACAGTTGTTTCGGCCTTTTTTTAAACAACGGATGGGATGGTTGGTCCGGGATAGCTATTCAGAAGTAACTAGCCCGACGTAGCTGCTCTGCTTAATTGGTACACTGCAGTACATCAGCCGATCTGTTTGGTACGCTCCGGCCTTTTTCACACTTTTTTAACAGGGACCCAATTTTGCACCAATCTGAAATGCACGAGAAATCGCAAAAAAGAGCAAAAAAAGAAGGCGTTTTCGTTTCATGACCATGTACCTATCTGCTGTTTCATATCTATTATAATTTGGACCTATGGAATCGAGTCCGCACGCGCAAAATGATCGGTTGGTGAATGATGCGAAACAAAGCGTTTCCGGGATAAAATTTACTGGCGTTTTTTTAGACATGACAAAGCTATCGTTTCCGCACCTGCTCATCCAGATTCCTACCTCTTTCAGATTTGGTACCAGAAAAGGTTACTGTCTAAGAACGTTAGCATGAAAACATCGATGGAATGGCTTAGCTTGCACGGCTTAATTGAAGAAATGTTTTATTTGACATGGTATATCAGTGTGTGTTAAAGTTGGTTCGGTGCAGCTGGTTCTGAATTTAGTCTGAGAAAGTTGATGCAGTATGAATGGAGCGGTATAACGTCTGATGCATGTGATCCGATATAGGTGGTCCGGTACAGCAGATGTAGTATCCTTAGGATGCGGTGCAGTTGATGCAGTGTAGGTGGTGAGGTTCAACTGGTTCGGTGTTTGCAGTCAGTGCGATTACCTAGTCCCGTGCTGCTATGCCACGAACGCTCAGCGACAATGCGACAGTGAGCTGATTACCGGAGATTTCCTGAGATGCGTCCCCGCTTGTGATACACGATAAAACTGCTCCTGCACGTGTTTTAGGTACCTGTTATCAAAAACACGTCTTACTTCAAACAGGCATGACGATGTATGGGGTGAGGGCACGAGACTGCACTAC